GTTTTTGGAAGGGGCATCTTCTGTAAGATAACACACAAACCTTAAGGAGTTCAGTTTTATTCTTTCCTGTCTCCAACCTTCCAAGAAATCTGGGAGGAGAGCCCACCATCATTGCCTAAAAGGAAGCACTGCTGGCAGCTACTTAGTTGAAAGACTTTCTATTTATCAGCAGCTCTCAGTCACTCAGCCATCACAGACATTTATAATCTTTCAGCCAAAATTTTTTCATTTCTGAACTCTGAAGCAAGATTTACTACAAACGGAGGACAAAAAAATAGAAGGATAGTACAGACTGCCAYAGAAATGTGCCTTTGCAGAGACCTTTTCCAAAGCAAGATAGATGCAAAGCTCAAAAAGTTAGATGGTTTCTCCTTAATTATAATYTGTAGCTTCTAAGTAGGCAATTTGGATCTGGCTGTCATATTTCAAATGGAAGACTAGACTACCCATYGCATGCAGATGAGGTGAGCACTTTCAAGAGTGCTCAGTGGGACTGTGTTTATTCAAATGAGCTGCTTAAAGTGAATGAAAAACTCCCATAAAATACAATTTCCTCTTCCTTCAGAAGGAAKAATCCCTTCAAGAGACAGCTTTACTTAGAACACTGAAAAGATACTAATAGRTGATTTGGAATAAAGTGGAAAACATTTGTTTTGCTCACTGCTGTGATACCGAGATTTTAAGGTGTCTTTTCATAGGGTATAGGTGTATTTTCATCAGGCTCTCATGTCAACAGCACCAGGAAATAAATCCCAGTCTGTCCTAAGTGTGGCTCAGTGCTCCCAACACCTCTGCACACACTTCAGCTAACCCCTGTTTAGGTGAGACTGTTTAAAATTTAGCAATGYCATCCTCCAGGCCAATGTTTTCCAAGTGGATTTCAGGGTGAATGCCCAAGAAAAGACAAGAGATGCTCCAAATGAATGAAAAGCACCTTAAAATAGTGAATACAACTAACAGTATGTACTATTCAATCACTTACTATCAAAAGAAACCCAAGGAATAACAACGTAAACAATAAAAGTGTTGCTGGGAACAGAAGAAAAAATAAACAAATAGGACCTTCACCAGGGCTCTTATGACAGACAAAAAAATATTGCTGCAGGGCACTTGGAWAAGTGACAAATCCAATCTGAAAGGGTGATGGACTGCAAGAGCAACAAATAGTTCCAAGATGCTGACTTTTTTTTTCCACCCCACAAAGGATCACTGCTTGGGTGAGGGTCARGATGATGAATATCCTAATGTGTGCCAAATTTACAACAGACTCTGTATTAAGCACAGATCCTAATGCTGAGGAAAACTGCCAGTGTAGGGTCAGAGAAATTGATTCCACATTTAAACATGTAAAACTTTCCAAATGCATACACAGGTGTCCAGAAGAATGGCTGATTTGTGCTTTAAAATATGAAGAAGAAATGCTTTGTGATAAAACTAGAATCAGGCAGAAAAGAGAAAAAACTTCAGGTGAATATTTGAAATATCCTTATAAATACCAGCTTCGGCATGGCAGAGTCTGGCAGGATCTGTAGAAAAGTGTGGCAGGGCTCCAGGAGATGCTGTTGGAAGGTATTAGGGTTTAGACTTCAGATTAATTTCCACATTACAGGGTGACTACAGGGTCATGGATGTCGGCTGCAGGAAGCAAATGAATCGGTGTAGTTGTGGATGGAAAAGCATCCATCCCATCTCCTGTTCCAGGAGAGATGCTGCAGCCAGATTTGGGGTCAGTTACCTCAATACTGAGGGGTTCTTCTGTGGTTACTGCACCCAGAGCAGGAGCTCTGGCACAGGGCATCCCTCAGGTGGAAATGGCTCATTTTCCCCTCTCTGCTGACACAATTGCCCTCACATGGACTTTTCTCCAAAGGGATGCCATCTCCCAGCTGTGCAGGAGCAGCACTGTGGGCTCTCATGGTGGGTTCTCGTGTTTACTGCAGCTCTGTGCTCTTCCTCACTTCTCCCTTTTCAAGGGGCAAATTCATTCAAGCCCAGAATAAAACTGAGAAAGTGATTCCAGCAGAAAGGAGAAGCAGCCACATTTTGAAAAAAGGCTTCTTTGGGTTTTCCTTTTGGTGCCCCACAATTTCCTGCTGCCAGAGTTACAACAGCAGTAAGACAGCACAGGAGCCAAGCACAACTTCCATACAGCCATAACTTAAAAAACCAAAAAACAGTATTAGTTTAAAGGTACCCTTCAAAACTCCCTGTCTAATGATATCAATTATTTGTGTTGGACTCATTTATATTTCTTGCAGGAGATTTTTGCAATTTGTAGGTTGGGGCTGAGAAAAATCACAACAAGCAGGTGTGAAGATGCTCCTTTGTTTAGGGAGCTACCTGCTGTGGATGTGCAATGCTGCTTCAGTGCATCCCAGACTGGCCTGGACCTACAAGAATCACTGCTTTGAACTCCTTTGGCATCCTCTGTGTTTTAGCCACACATCCCCACACCCCACCAGCCCTGGTTTTGCCCTCCTGCATCCTCCCTTTCTTTGGCTCAGGTGATTGGCCCCAGAAGCTCGTGGTCACAGTGCAATGCCCCTCCTTTCATCCTGGAAAACTCCCTCCCCATTCTRATCTTGCTTTGATGGGAATGTTTTCAGGCTCCTTCAATCTCATTTCCAAAACATCCAAGCCTTCTTGCTTTGCCAACCTGTCCTGTTCAGCCTTACCACTTTGTTTACTGGCTTAAAGCTCTTGACACTTGTCATCTACYGGCCAAAGTCTAGCAGTTCATCCTCTGGGAGAAGGAAACAAAGCCTTAGATTCACAGCAACAGGAATGAAAGCAGCTGGTAGCACAGCTTTCTTCATTTCAAGCCATGCTGGAAGGTGCAGCTCATAAAAAGCAGCGCTCAGGTATTTGACTGCTTTGGTGTCACTGCTGACAGCCCCAACAGCAGCGGGGTGTCAGATGTCTCTCCTTCCACCTACACCTCCCCCGGCTGACAGCCAGTAATCAGGACTGTGAAGGCWTCTGAAAGGAAAATGCCAAGTGAAGATGGACCTGAATGCGAGACAACCAGTGGGAAATTCATCCTGCCTACACAATGCCTAKGAGCCCATGCAGGGAGATGAGCCTCAGGAGCACAGCATTGATTAGAGAGCTTGAACTTCTCTGAGCTGCTTTTTCCAAGTGTATTCCCTGCTCTGTTACCTTTCCCAACTAATCTCACTTCTGTTTTTAGAGCATCTCATCCCCATCCTGCAGAAGGAGCACTGGAGAAAAGCAAAAAGAGCAAATGCCTGAGAAAGTCACAGGAATATTTAGATAAAACACTGAGATGACACCAAGTTCCACAGGTAGCGTTGGGATAGATTTTCCAGGCACACATCTGCTGCCTCATGTAATCTGCACATCTCTGGACACTTTTTATATGTGCCTCAGGTTTGCACACAAAACCCCAAATTGCACCAAATCTAAATATCTTCATGATTCTCCTAAACCAGCAGCTGGGCAAGTGTCATCTCCCTTCTCACCTGCACATTTTGGGTGTATTTACACCACATGTCCAACCACCCCACTGCAGTGCCACACATCCCATCTGGGCATGCTGAGTTCAAGGGCCAGCCACAGCCTCAGCTGGATCCCTCCTKCAAATAAACCTTACTTTGCATCATCCCTGCAACATGCTGGCATGTTACAATTACTCATCAATTATTCCTAGTTTTCTAATAAGCAAGACTGTGGGAAGTTGCAGATCCAGCCATTTCCTTCTAGAAACAATGGTSGATGTGCCTGGTGAAACACCAGGAGACACTTGATGGCTACTTCTCTCTGTTTTATTAACTTTTAAAATAAAATACTGTTTTATTATTATGCAAACTAAAAGCACTTCACCACAGGGTGTATTTGTCATGAATGTTGGAGAAATGACCTATTTGGAAGTGAATCAAATTACAAATTTGATTTTCACATAACTCAATTTTCAGGATCTCTCCTATGCATACTAAACAGAAATGAAAGAAAATGTAGACAAGTTCAAGACAAAAAAAATAAACATTTGTAAAACTAGGAAACGTGACTTTTGGAGTAATCAATGTGTGTCAAGCAAGAACAACAATTCAAGGAATCAAATTCAGTTCCCAGAATATGTTAAAGAAATAGATGCTTTCAAGCCTGGTCTATGCACAGCAATCATAAGCAAAACAGCATGTGATTTCCCAAGGAAACAAAATAATTTTGGAGTCACAGTGTACTAGACTTAAGATTGAATTATGCATTCTTTTCTTAATCATCTCAATTCCTTGAAGAAATTACTTATACAAAAGTGAACTGCTTCTGCAGTGGACTTGACATATCTAAAACCAGAAGACTGTAGATGCTCTTTTGAAGCAGGATCTTAAATGGCATGTACATTACATATATATATATATATACATATATACATATATTACATATATATATATACACATATATACATATATATATATATATATATATATGTGTAACTGCACTACATTTTTCAGATGTATTTAAACATAAAAACTGTTTTCCTAAATCACTCTGTTCAAAGCATTCAGACACCAAGAGATACAAATAGGTAATTAGTAAAATTTTCAACAAATATTTCAAAACTATGGTTCAAACTCATTTTGGTTTTTTGCTTCCCCCTCCCCTGCAGTAGCTGTTTCAGATCCTTGCTACTCCAATGGATTGGAATCCTCTCTCATTTCCAGCTTAGTTAAAGGCTACACTACACTTAATGGATATTTTTTCCCCATTTTTTATCTTGGGATGATGTGTTGTTTTATTTTTCCTTGCCTGCCRTTTTCCACTCCCTGAGCTTTCCTGGGGGCTGGAATCTCTCTGCTCCTTCCCTGAGCTCCCACTCCCAGCAGTTCCCATGGCCCCATCCACACCAGGTCTAGCCAAACCCATCCCTCCTGCACACACAGGAAAATCCTGGAGCCCCAAACCAGTGYTTAAGCAGAATGTGCCCTAAAGGATGGGAAGCAGCCCCGAGTGCCGAAGCGCCGCGAGCCAGCCGGGGTTACCTGAAGGGGTAGGCAAAGGCTATGTCAATGCTGAGGTCACTCTCGGACTTGTTTGCACAGTCCACACTGAGGCGCAGCTCTCCAGAGTACCCACCGCATGTTGCAAATGCAAAGATTGCAAAAAGCTGTCAAAAACAAACAACATTTTTATTTTATTTCGTTTCAGCGACCASCACCACAAGCAGATCCATGCAGTAGCTCTTGCTGCAGCCCCAGTCCCCTCGGGTCAGGTTGTCCATCACTCCCTGTATTTAAATACATTTAAAGCATTGCCATTTATTATTCCTGCACCCTTYCCCAAAAGCAAATGCAAAGAACCATGAAAGCTGAGGCTCTGCYGCTGCACAGACACATCACCATTAGTCCATGCCAGGCATCTCAGCTCTTCCCTCCTGTCTTGAGCCCCATTTGGGATTCACAACCAGGCAATTATTCAGATCACCCCACTGACAGGCGAGATTGGACAAGAAGGGAAGGATGAATATTGACTGAGCATAACGAGTCAGTCTCAACCCGAATGAAACACTGGCAGAAATATTTAATAGGTGCAATAGCAAACCAAGAGAGTTCACACAGTCACCACCCCATTATGTGGCAAAACACAGAACTGAGCTCTTCCAGTTCATGTATGACTTACTTAAAAAAACCCACAACTTATTTTTATTACTTTTCCTTAATTATTACCATAGTCCAAGATGAACATAAAGGTATAGTAAACTGACAGCAAAGCCGAAAAAAATTCCAGACAGGTTAAAGGCAGACAAACAGGAAAGGAGCAAAGAGCTGGGGTGRTTCTGATGTAAACCCATATCACATCTTAATCTTCTGGAGGAAAATAAAGAAGGAGTGTGCAGGGCAGAGACACATCAGCTTTTATATCAAGGGTTCAAAGAAAGGAATTGGAAGCAGGCATAGGTGTCTTAAAGCATCACTGACGTAGGCTTCCTTGGAAGATCCTGAGCAGAAGTGGGGGCAGTTTATTTATGCAGCTGTAATTTAAATTAAAGGACAGGTTAGATTTTGTTGATTGCAGCACTGTAGCTCTGAAATAACTCCATTTGCTTTAACACAGTTACTGTGAGATCTACAGAGGGGCAGATATGGGAAATGAGAAGCAAATGCCCAATCCCAGCCACAATTAAATAAACTAAAATCAGCAACCCAGAGGAAACGAAGGGTGCACACATCCGGGAAAGAAACTATGTTCTTGGACACTGAAAAATTATGCAGCAAGCAGATGTAATGGCAAAATAACGGACTGAAAATATAATAAATAGAAAAACKAGATCTCTTCTTTCTGCACAAGGCTTTGCAAAACATGCCATTAATCTTAGTTCTTCCAATTTGCAGCATGAGCGAAGCCGCGAGTTTCACCAGCCTCCCTGGAATTTAGCTTTGCATGTGCACCTTTCCCCAGAGAGTGACAGATTGTAGGGGTGACAGCTGAGCACTGGGGCAGGGAGACCCTCCCTGGCTGCTGGGTGATGTGCTGAGCATGATGGAGCACAGGGAACAACAGGGGAGCAATGCAASTTCCCACCCTGCTACTCACTCCCAACATGAGCAGGGCGTATCATATATGGAGGATAGATTTGCAAAGGTATTTAGGTACCTAAATAGGCAAGAAAAGTTAATAAAAACTTCGATTGAATCAATTCTTCTTGCTCAGCTCACTGCAAAAGAGGAAAGCTGAACTTAACTACGGATTGGATTGTTAAAATATGTGCCACAAAATAAATGTTTTCACTAAAACTTAAACAGTGTTCCTTCATCCTAAATGAGACACTTCCTCTGCATACGCAAGAAATTTCTGCCCTTACACGTAGCACAGYGCTGAAAATCAGCATTAATCACCTCAGGTTAATTTGTGAGGTGATATCAGAAAACAATATATTAAGGAGAACAGGAGAGAAAGCTGACCTGCTTTCTGGCCTAATTAACAGAGTTGCAAATGCAAATGTTTTGCAGGTACATAGAGAGGCACAAAGATTAACAGTGATATATTAAGAGGGAACTTGGAAACCTCTGGTGTGAGGCAGAGCAGCCATAAAGAAAGAGCCATCACCTCTCAGCAAAGGGACAAGCASAGAAAAGAGGTGCAATTGAAATGCATCTCCTTTAATTGTGCATTGGAAATCAGCATCATGCATTTTCACCAAGAGCCTTGCCCAAAAACACAGCTCAGGCTATTCCTTCCCACAAAGTATCTCCTCCAGAGTTCCCAGTTGTTCCTCTCCCCATTGAAAGGAGCTCTGATAGCAGACCTGGAGCCTTGATCCTTCAGCCAGTTCAGATCCAGTCTTTACTCACCCATCAGCCCCACAACCAGAAAAATTTCAGCAAAGCCCTGCAGGCACAACCACCAGCTCTGACCTCACCCAGCACACATCCTGCTCCAAGCACCACCAGGGCAGATGGGAAAGGGAAAAGGACCACGATGGAGATTTTTATACCAAACTTCAGCTGTGCATGAGCCAACCCCAGCCTGGCTCCTGCTGTGGCTGCAGCAGATGCTGCGGATGGCTGGGATCACCCAGCTGCCAGGAATGCCCAGCCAGCTCCCACAGCTGCRTGCTGAGGACATGAAGCACCTTTTGGAATCATATTTACAGTTTCCATCAAGGGGGTACACAGTGAGGGTCATAAATCAACGGTATTTCCCTGGCGTATTTTGGCCAAGCAGCAGCATGATTCCCCTTCCTCTCCTGCCTCTGCATTTCCCCTTTTTCCCCCCTCCCCAACAAATTGTGCTGCTTTATGTTGTCAGAAGAGCACCCGGTGCAATAAGCCAAGAATTACTCGCTGTTTTTTCATGCACACAGTAATTCTGTGGCCGTCTCAGGAATGCTGTAAACACCACTGTATTTTATTATAGCAGGATTTGTGTAAATGGCAGTTGTAAACCCCATAATGGGAGCTTTATGGGCCAGATTCAATAAAACCTCCATCTGTGAGATAATTTTATTGAACCTGGCCGCTCTGAAATTGAAAAGTTTATGGAGAAAGGGAAAGTGTTTCCCTGTGTTCCTATTTACTCTTTGCCTATAAATCCACACCCAGCACTAGTCCTATCAGCAGTGTGCACGCATCCTGCTTCTCCCTTCGCAGCAGATAAATCTCCCCACGCGCAGTTACCTCTGCTTATCACACGGCTGCTGCCTCCCAAAGCTCAGACTTGACAAAGCCTGGCCTCCCTGGAGTGGGAGTGGAGAAACACAGAGCCCTTGAGGCAGCAAATCCTCGCTGTCCTGGCTGTGCCAGGTCACTCCTGGCCATTGGTATGAGAGCAGGGCAAACCCTGCCCTCTCCTGCGCTCCCATCCCTCCTGCAGCTGCAGGAATTGCTTTGCCATTGTCACACAGGGGTGAGGTTGGTGCCTTCACACGCTGCAGGGAAATGGAAAATGCCTGTTCAGTCCAGCCTGGAGCAGTGGTCCCCATTCCATGTGGGATAACACAGCAGCACCCCACCAGCTCAGTGTGGGCCRTGGAAGCAGTTGCCAGCCCACCTGATGAGGAGGGAGGGACAGAAAGGGACATTATTTGTGCTCCCCAGCACAGACTGGARCAGTGCACACCTCCCATGTGCAGCCTGGCTGGAACATCACCCCTCTTCCTCACAATCTCAGACAGAATGCCACATCACAATGAGAGATTAACACCATTCCTAGATCCTGTCATAGTGATATTCCCTCTCTGACCTCCAGCCTTGGCCCAGACTGTTGGTATGTTYTTGTAAGGAAGCTGGGTAAATCCCACAGTATAACAACTAACAGAAATGGTATTTATTATGGTACTGTGCAACAATAAACCAGCCTTCCCTGCCAAATCAGACAAGCATTTTTTAAAGACCAATTGGCTCCTTAGCTCTCTGAGAAAAATAGCAATGCAATACCCAGCAGAGCACATCGCTGCTTCTCACACCAGCACAGGGCAGGGAAAGGTTCATAATTTGATTTATGGGATCACCTCCCTTGCTCCGATGCCAGGTTTCAGTGCAGAGGCAGAGGATCCTGTAATKCAGCATTCAGGGGCTGTCCTTTGTCCAGACTCAAGGCTGGTCCCCTCATTTCCCAACCCTGTGGCCAGGGGCATGGGGTGAGTGATGCCCTGAGGGAGCCCAAGTCCCAGCTGTGCATGAAGCAGGCTGTAGCACCTCAGTGTGTATCCCTGGACATTGCTCATCTGGCTGTGGAAAGGGAAAATGGGATGATTTCCTCTCACTTCTCCCTGTTTGGCTCCCCGACAATTCCCCTCGACTCCTGCTGAGCGCCAGGCTCGCTCTGCGCACCAGGAGAAGGCAGARCAGCTCTGACAGGGAGAGTTAAAAGGCTTGTGTGGCGCATGCTGCAGCTAAAACATCCCGGTAGGGGGATAACACTGTCATTTAAAATTGATGGAAGTTCTGGATAAACCACTTGCTTTTTTCCGGGAGCACGCCTGCCCTGTGGCAGCTCCTGATGGGATGGAGCCATGCTGGGGATGCACCCCAAATCTATCCCGCTGCAAAGGGGAGGACCTGCTCTGCCTCTGGGCTCCTTGCTGGGTCCTCCAGGAGGGCAAGGTCTTAAAAAGAAAGTGTTAGTCTTGCCTGGAGCTGTGGTGGCCAAAAACAGGCTGTGAGGGATGCAGTTCACAACGTGGTTTGGTCTCCAACACTTTCKCTTGGTATTGAGGAAGGAAAACGGGAATGAACCTGCTGGACACTTTCCCAGAGAGGTCCCCCCAGCCCCCTCCTCCTGCCCTAAAGCCGAGGGGAACTCCTGGCACTCTTCTAAAGAGCAACCTGAAATATTCAGAACGCCTACACTATTATTAGTCATTTTACACGTTCGGAGTGTTTTAAAAAAAGACCTATTTTTCTGGCATCATTTCTGGATCCGAGACCTCCCTTTCTCCATATCACCATAACAGAGAGACTGCAAAACCTTTGCCAAATGTTCTACTGCCTTACACTTGCTGCTGCTCACTGTGGCCAAGAGAGCAAGGAGGGAGCGCGTTGTTCCGGGGGCTCCGATGTCCCCCCGCAGCCGGCATCGCTCACCCGGCAGAGCATCTCGTTAAACTGAGATTATTTATTTATAGRGCTGCACCAGTAATTGAACATTATTATTAAGGCTGTAAAG